ACACACACACACACACACACACACACACACACACACGCACACTCACTCACTCACTCACTCTCTCGAAGACACACACACACACACACAAACACACACTTTTAAGAGCGTGCAATAAAAAGATGGATAATTTTCTTTTTCTAAGGTTTTAGCACCATCTATATTGCAGGAAAAGAGCGTTTCTATAAAACTAAAGGGAAGATAGTTCAACCTTTGAACCTGATATCTCGCTGTCCTTCACTGGGGGAAAAATAACGCAGGAAAGATAACCCGTGTATCAAAGGTAGCCAGAGAAAAAGGAACGTTTTGAAGGAACATTAATTTTATCATGGGCGAACGCAAGATGTAACAGGCGTGCCTATAAAAAGGAGGACCCACTAAACGGACAATAACTCGATCATCCCTGGACCAATTTTAACAAAACTTAAGATATAACACGGGTATCTAAAAAACGGAGGGCCCATTCAAATCGCACTGACTCGGTTATTCTCGACCAATTTCAATCAAACATGGTACAAATCATTTCAACCATGAACACGTCAAACGTGTCAATGTGAAACATTGGGAAACAAAATTCTTCCCAATTAAGTAATGCAATACCAATTTGGAGTAAAACCCAAAACGTTGCAACTTCATTAAAGATCAAGGTAATGTGTGTCTGTGAGGTTAAAAAAAAACAATTTACGTACATTAATAATTAAAGTTGCCAAATAAACTCATGGAAGGTTGTGGCTACTAAGATCGTGTGCTTATATTTTGATCATCTTTCGAGACAGGCTCAAATACGCCGATGAATGTACGGGATTAAAAAAGAAGAGGACATGAGAGTGTATGTGTTCACTTTGTGCATATTATGTGCTTTGGTGTGCGTGTATGTGTGTATGTGTGTGTGTATTTGTGTGAGTATATAATAAGTACCTGCAAGTGTTTTGTATGTGTCTGTGCGTATGCGTGTGTGCCTAGCAATTCTGTGTTTGTGCTTATGTGTGTTTATGTGTGTGAGTTAGTGTGCGTGTGTAATTGTTGTTGTTGACGATGTTGTTTTTGCTGTTGTTGCTGTTGGTTGTGGTGGTGGGGGTGTTTTGGCGGTGGTGTGTGTGTGTGTGTGTGTGTTTGTTTGTGTGTGTGTGTGTGTGTACGTACATGTGTGTGT